CTGAATAAGTTACACGAGTTTTTTACAAGATAAAATATAAATAATATAATACATAATATAATTTATAAGAAAAATATTTTAGTGAAATTTTAAACAGTGTTGAGTAAAAAAAGGGAAACATTGACAGCTTTTATTATATTTCTTGTCAATACAATTTTAAATAAAGTACATTTAATGTGTTTTTATGTTTAAAAATTATAGGTATGTCATACTTTGAGAGTCCAGCTGAAGTTATCAACACTAACCAAATAAGTGTCTTTCATCCAGGTAAGATATGACCATTATAAAGCAACTGTAATATAAACAATTTAAAACTGAGCAAGTGTAAACACTCATGTGAGTTTGTTAGAGCTGATTTAGATACAAGTAGAACAAGTTAAAAGATACATTCAATTTGTATTGGTTTCAAGCTGCTTAAATAATATGCTGTTACTTTGCTCCTCTAGGCAATTTTGTTATTGTTCTTGTAGAAATCATGAGAACTTGATATATCCATATGTGAATACTTCTACAGGTGTTGTTATGTTTCCCTATTCCTGTAGGAAATCATGAAGCTGAGATGTGCTATAGAGGAGAAGCTGAGTTACACAAACATGTTACTGACTGTAAGAAGAATCCAGGTCACAAAGGTTTTATACCTCTTAAAGATTTCAACACAAGTTGTCTCCCTTCACGTTACCATGACGACAACCTCGTTTTTGAGACAATTAAAGCAATGGCAGCCCTAACTGTCCAGGTAAAGACTAAATTTACCAGTCTAGAGAGACCAGAGTTTTACCCAGGCACTCAAGTTCTATATCCATGTTATAAGGACAGAGGAAGTCACGTGATGAGAATTGGGACGGGAAAGGTGTATGAAGTGAACAAGTACACAGAGGGTGACAAAACGTGTCGTTGTGCCAAGTGTCAAGTCTCCGCCACACCCAGCAAAGTTTGGGGGGAGGTCCGTGTGGTATCTGCAACACATGTGGTCTTTGATGCCAGTGAGGCGAGACAGACCAGGTGTGTTTTAGGTTTTGATGACAATAAAAGTCCAGTGGTCAGTCTTGATGGCTGGGAGATGGAGGATGCAGAAATTGAGGGAGACAAGTGTCAGTTGTATTATACTACTTGTGACTTAGAGTTGCTTGATGAACTGGACAAGATAAATGAGCGCTTTGAGGATCTATGTGACGAAGTAAAGGACAAATACAGGGGATTTGATGACGTGGACAAGTTGACCGTTATAGTGTCACATCCTCATGGCTGTCCTAAACAGGTCTCTGTAGGACAATGGACACACAAACGTGAGAGGTTCGATTACTTAACAATGACCAGGTACTGGTATACAACATGTACATGTCCAGGCTCCAGTGGAGCGCCTGTCTATAGACAGGGTCATGACATGTTTTACCACCATCCCCACAGTGGATCAAACTCTAAAGGAAATTATAGTGGGGAGTGGTAAGACTAACATAACTGTTAGTTCTCTCCCCTTGTCTACACAACGTAAAAAACAAATGGCTGAATTATGTGCTAGGACTTGCACGTTATTACATTTAAATGATTAAAACAAATGTTTTATTGGATGTAAAATATTTAAAGATTATTTTTGACATCTACCATTCTAAATTTTAGAGTTGTTTTGGTTTTAAAATGTTGTAAATATTTGTCCATAACTAATATTGTTAGCCTAGATAGGCCCTAGATGTTCTTATAAATAATCTTTTTTTTTTTGTTTACATATATTTTAAATAACTAGAAACTTAATCCTAAAAACAAAACATCTTTTTTTTTTATAATCGTTTGCTTCACTAAAAGATTTCTGACTTCTGCCATGTAAAACGAGTTACATTTACATTTTTGACTAGCTGTCTTGTGAGGATGGACGAATGCAGTATCCTTTTTTACGGGGATCGCCTCTTCTTATATATCTGGTAAAGTTTTAAGAAATCGAACACAAGTCCAATTCAACATATACTACATCGGTTTGTTAATCAACACAAATAAATTGTTCTACTCATACCCTAACTAGTCTATACTATATACTGCCTACTAACACTAACTAACTATACACTCTCACGAACATCCCTAACACACTATATATCTATATTCAAATCTCCGGAAGCTACATTTATCGACCCACCTCTACGACTTTGATGATGCGGCAAAAAGTGACCGATGTTCACTGCCTTACATAGTCTCGTCGACAGCAACCAGTGAAACTGCATGGGTTGATTGCTTAGCCCCAAGATAAGAGTTTATTATTTTTTTTTACATAACTGTTCGAGGACAAAATACGCATTTAAAACATATTTTTCAGGCATCTCTTCGGCATGGAACTCCTCCCCCCTCCAAAAACACGTCCTCAAACTAAAAATTATAAATACAATATCTAAATAAAATATATACTTCAACCAATGTCCGCCCCCAAATAACAAAGGTAAATGTCTGAAAGAAACACTGCTAATTTGCAAAGTACGTGTGATGAACCCCATTGTGGAAAATCACCGGTAGCAAAAGTTGACAAAGTGACGGGAAAAAACAGTGGCAGTATAAGAAAACGCTCAAAACTGACCAAAGTCAGCATTTGTATATTTAAATGTAATTAACTTCCTGAAAAAACGGCAGTGAAATTTACAGCTTTATTAAGTGTACTACTAAAATTATATGTATTAAAACACAATCAGTAATTTGCGGTCTCCGAAAGGCAATTGTCTGCCTTTTCGCAGAGTACGTGGCCGTTCTGGTGCGTGGAAGCAACTGCAGTTCACGGACGACACTCTGATTAAGCGATGGCTAGTAAATTTGTTTCTTCCATTTAGTTTCAAATTGTATAAAAACTCTATTATCAGAACCTATTGAGCACTACTAACTTCACTTTGTTCAGAGCTTGTAAACATTTGTCGTGGATGACACAATATATTGTGATCTCGAAAAGATAGTAAACTGACCCTACTTCGCGCCTCCTAAAATCAGTCAACTAAATTTTACCCACGACGGCCCTTTGATCAAGCAAACGCTGGCAAGTATTTTATCTTTTAATCCGCGCTTTTATTCCCCACGCTTTTCTTTATAGTAATTAAAATAACAGTGTATTATTATTATATATAAAAAAAAATGTTTTTTTTTCTCCATTTTAGTAATTTTTACATGAACGCTTGTTATTTAAACGTTTTTATGCAATTTTTTTCAGTACTTTTTTTTGTTGTATGACTTAAAACATTTGCGCATCAAATGAAAATGAAAATGTGGAAAGAGTGGTACTATTTTTAGAAAAAAATCATTAACAAAAAAAATTAGGCATCGAATTAAGTCAAATTCAATGTTATATTGCATAGACTTTATGTCGTAACCTGGTTCCAACTTTGAAACGATTCTCTTAGTCAAAAGTGCCCGAAATTGTGCTCGCCCGTTTCGATCTATTTTTTTTTTTGGACAGACTGACGACTGACGCAGAGGAAGCAAGTAAAATAAAAACGTGTAAAAAAAAGTCTATACCCCGATTGCACCCCTTAGTGTTTATTAGAATATTGGAGAAAATTTAAGGGATAACACTGTCGCTTTATTTCTGTAACTACCGCATTACTGGATTACATAACAACAGTGATTTTTTTTTTTTTTTTTTTTTTTTTTTTTTTTTTTTTTTTCATTTATTTTTTTTTGTGTTAATAATGTGAACATTTATTAAAGTGTTTTAAGGGATAAAAAAATAAAAATATGTTATCAATGATAAAATCTTCTTATAAACTTCAAATTGTACTTCTAAAATTCATTTTGCCATTCCCCAAAATGTTTAAATAGTGGAAGCAAGGTGTTAGGAAGAGTTAGATTTCCCATATTCTATATTATACCCGTGTAAAGACAACACATGTCGGTAATTGTTAAATGCTGATTACATATCCGAGACAAGTAATTAAGTTTTACAGAACCGACCATACAAACAGCAAAGTAGTACTCTACTGATTGTAGTACGGCGGAACTTTTATCATTAAAGGCTAGTTCCAATGCTTGAGTCAAACTTGCTCTACTTTATATAAACAAAACCGAAAGTTGTGGAGACTAAGAAAAGCTTGTGATAGAGCTAATGATACTACACTTAATATATACAAAATACACGGAAAATGGTATATTTGCCTATAACTCCTCTATTGGTCACCAAGTTGTAAACAGCCTTCTTCGGTTAGTTGTACGACAGACAAGCTGAAATATTTTTAATTGTTATTTACGCTTTTTTTCTTCGGTGCTTTATTTAGTCTTCTATTGGGTTGCAATTATTTAAACAATTAAAATTAAGATTATAAAAGACGTCTAGTTTATTGTGCAGTTAATATTGTAATTGGAATATAATAATTTACAAAGACACTTTAAAAGATTTTGTTGCAAATTAATATTTTAGAAATTTAATGTAGAATTTAAATCCAATGTTCCAAAATTGTTAAGCGAAGTTTGTAGAATATTTTAGCAAGTGCACCGTCCCATGGATCTAAGGAAGGTCATGCTATCTGTAATAAAAAAAGACACAAAAGGTATTAAACAAAAATGTGATTTAATTTACTTTAACACTAATTGTGTAATTTAATACATTCATGCTTTTTGTGTTGCCTTTGAAAATGTTCCAGTACACCTGACTTACAATGGACCATATTTCACTTCCTGCTAGTTCTGAAATATCAAAGATAAGCAATTATGTATTCTACAGGGCACACTTTGCGTACGAAATTACTCTAATCTCTTAAAACACAAAACTAACATGTCAGTAGCTCTCTCCGTCGTGCCTGTCGAACTAAGTCAAGTGGGTGTATTTTTATTTTTATGTTGTGGTATACATTTTATGTAGTTTTTCGCTATTTAGAAGAAAAACAATTATACTTTGAGGTGGTACATTTTTCTTAAACTTGAGAAACGTTTATACACCGATGTAAAATTATTTAAAAAATATTCTATTTGTTCAAATTCAACAATAGTGCAATTATTAAGCAATCGATTTATTTTCATATCTACAGTAACACGAACCCGAACAAAATGAGAAAAAGAAAATTGGAGTCACGAAGTACACCTGAAGGTAGACCAGATAAATTTTAAATCATTCTTTTAACCAAATCTTTAAGTAATTTAGGTAATCTAAAAACTATTATTGCATTTTTTTACATTTAAATTTAAAAAAAAAAAAAATTCCTTTATAACCTACAATGGTTTTAAACGTGTAAAAGTATATGCTAAATACCCTATGAATTATTAAACAATGATTTTTTTTTCAAATGACTAAGACCTGTGTGAGTGCAAAAAAAAAAAAAAAAAAATTAAAAGAATTTTTCACAGTAATGTCACAATTCTTTTTCTTTGTAACTATAAAGCAATGTATTTGTTAATTGATTATTATTTTATTTTAGATGTGACATATTTTGAGAATCCAGATAAAGTTATCAAAACTGACCAAGCAGGTGTCTTTTATCTAGGTGAGATATGACAAACATAAGACAATTCTAGTTTGGTCAAACATAAAACTGTTCTAGTGAAAACATGTAGATTATTTTATTATTGTGAATTTATAGTTGATTAAATGAAAGAAATGGTAAAAGTTTCCCTTTTATGTATATCTTTATCAGCATGCTAAATAAAGTGTTCGTTTGAACACAGTATAGCTAAACAAAATAATACTAATAATAGGTTACTTTTATGTTTTTACCAGTTTTAGACTGTTTAAAGAATCTTTTTCCCCTATTCCTGCAGGAAATCATGATGCTGAGATTTGCTATGGCGCAGAACCTGATCTTAACAAACATGTTACTGGCTGTAAGAAAAATCCAGGTCACAAAGATTTTATACCTCTTAAAGATTTCAACATAAATTACCTCCCCTCACGTTACCATGACGACAACCTCATGTCCGACACGATCAAAACATTGGCAGCCCTAACTATCCAGTTAAAGACGAAATTCACCAGTCTAAAGAGACCAGAGTTTTACCCAGGAACTCTAGCTCCATATCCATGTTATAATGACAGAGGAAGTCACGTGATGAGGTTAGGGACGGGGAGGGTGTGGCGAGTGGATAAGTACACAGAGAGTGACAAAACTTGTCGTTGTGCCAATTGTCGAATCTCTGCCACACCCAGCAAAGTGTGGGGGGAGATTTGTGTGTTGACAGCCACACATGTGGTGTTTGATGACAGTGAGGCGAGGCAGACCAGGTGTGTTTTAGGTTTTGATGACAATAAAAGTCCAGTAGTCAGTCTTGATGGTTGGGAGGCGGAGGGTGGGGCAAACATTGAGAGTGACAGGTGTGAGTTGAAATATTTTACATGTAACTTCGAATTGGTTGATGAACTGGACAAGATTTGTCAGCGCTTTGATGGTCTATGTAGGGAAGTATGGGACAAATACAAGAGTTTTGTTGATGTGGACAAGTTGACCGTTATAGTGTCACATCCTCATGGCTTTCCTAAACAGGTCTCTGTAGGACAATGGACACACAAACATGAGAGGGATGATATTTTCGAGGATGAAATCACCTGGACCAGGTACGTGTACAATGCATGCACATGCCCAGGCTCCAGTGGAGCATTTGTCTACAGGCCAGGATATGTGGTTTTATATCTGCATCCCCACAGTGGATCAAACTCTCATGGAAATTATAGTGGGGAGTACTGGGGCTAATGTCAAAATTAGTTTTCTCCCCTTGTCTACTCAATGTAAACAAACAATATGGCGCAACCTTCATTGAGTTAAGACTTGTATATGTTATCAACATTTTTTACAAATACATTATTTTAAAAAGTTAAAATTTGTTTAAAATGTTGTAAATATTTTGTCCCTAACTAATGTCGACAAATTGTTTTCTGAAAATAAAACATGTAATTGTGTAAGTTGACATTTTTCCTAATAAATGGCTTTTATGTATATATCACAAATTGTACACAAACACACACATAAACTACCTTCGTCTGAACCTTTTTATGTAAATATTTTTTGTCATGTCAGTTAAGGCGTTATGTTAAAAGATAAATGGCCAGAAACATTGGTAAAAATATAAATTATGTCCTATATCAGTTGTATTTTGTTCGGGAGTGTGGGGGTAGGGGGGGGGGGGCGGTAGACGTTCTTCGACGACGGGGGGGGGGAGGTATTCTGCCCCCTACCCAAAGAGAAAGAAACTCTACTTGCAGTGCAGAACACTTTAAGATTAGACCAAAACTTTAGGCGGTAAGGTCGAGTCGAGTCAGTAAATCTCATGGTTGCTAAACCGAAAAGTCTCGAGTTCGAAACCTTGGGCAGATGAGGCTCGTTAGCTTGGGACAGCCACTCATCTAGGAGAGACAACTCCAAAATCTAATAACTGCTGAATCGTAGTTTGTTCTTGGTTTACAACATTTATGGAAGCAAATCAAAAAAGAAAAGCAGGCTGAAATCGTACTCAATGGCCTAATTAGCGAAAACTGTTGTCAGTATACTTAATCGTGTTGGAGGGGATCCCTTCCAACACTAGAATTATGAACGAAGAAGAAGATTGGGCGGTAATGTTAGAGTCTTTATCTTAGAGCAAGGGTCTCCAAACTACGGCCCGCGATGTCATTTTATCCGGCCCGCGACGATCTTTTTGTCCACTGAATAAATGTTTGTTGGAGGTGGCTGAAGAGCTTTGCACAAAAAATTCAAAACTATTTGAAAATGTAGCTTTTTGTGCAAATACAATCACTCGTCGTGTTGCAGACATTGGTGAAAACATAGTGACTCTAATAGCGAAAAATTCAAGGAAGGGGCGCCACGACCCTTAAGAGATGCTTTAAAGAAACTCTGGCCCCCGAACTGATATTTGATAGTTAATGCGGTCCTCGGGCTGAAAAGTTTGGAGACCCCTGTCTTAGAGTATGGATGACGTCATTCTTTGTTAAGGAATTTCGTTTCGTTTTGAAAATTTCCATTTGTTCCATGTGATGTCACGGTCGGGGACAGTTTCGTTTGACTGTGGAAGTAATTATTTTCATTGTTGTTTTTTCTTCTAGAGCATGACAGACAGACAGACAACATTAATTTCAGTAAAGCTTGATCTTCAATTTGCTATGTCTGGGTCGAACGGAGAGCGGCGAGTCGACACACAGGCGTCATATATATATATATATATATATATATATATATATATATATATATATATCAGTATGTTATTGCTTTGCAATGCTCTAAGATTCATTCAAAAAGTATACTTCGACGAGAAAGAAATTGACAAAATACACTAAAGGTCTAAAACTCAAAAAATGTATCACACGAACCAAGATACAATACAAAATATAAACACAACACAACATAAAGCAAGAAACGCACACTCCTTGTTTCGTAATCCTTGTGAAACTTAATCTGCTTACATTTCAATGTAAACATAGCACAACCTATCAAAATAACAAGGTTAAATCTTTAGACTAAATAAAAAAAAAATTGCAATAATATAAGAAAATATACTCATAACTATTATTAACTTCATGCACACCTTATTATCGTAGTGACGTATAGAGGAAAATATAAGGTGAACCCGTCAGTTAACCATCTGGTTACCCATATTGATTATCCGGCAACAGACCTTCATAATACAACACACACGAACCGAAAAGATTTCCTTTGTCTTGCCTTGAATGACTCACAATTCACACTCTGGTTCCTATGTCCTTGCTTGTACTTGACAACACACATCCCACACATTTCACTTGTACTTGACAACACACATCCCACACATTTCACTTGTACTTGACAACACACATCCCACACATTTTACTTGTACTTGACAACACACACGTCCCACACATTTCGCTTGTACTTGACAACACACACGTCCCACACATTTCGCTTGTACTTGACAACACACACGTCCCACACATTTCGCTTGTACTTGACAACACACACGTCCCACACATTTCGCTTTTACTTGACAACACACACGTCCCACACATTTCGCTTTTACTTGACAACACACACATCCCACACATTTCGCTTGTACTTGACAACACACACGTCCCACACATTTCACTTGTACTTGACAACACACACGTCCCACACATTTCGCTTGTACTTGACAACACACACGTCCCACACATTTCGCTTTTACTTGACAACACACACGTCCCACACATTTCACTTGTACTTGACAACACACACGTCCCACACATTTCGCTTTTACTTGACAACACACACGTCCCACACATTTCGCTTTTACTTGACAACACACACGTTCCACACATTTCGCTTGTACTTGACAACACACACGTCCCACACATTTCACTTGTACTTGACAACACACACGTCCCACACATTTCGCTTGTACTTGACAACACACACGTCCCACACATTTCGCTTGTACTTGACAACATAAGGAAAATAAGTGGATTTTTGTGGACGGGGAGGGGGGGTCGGGGTCCAAAATCCAAAAAAAATTGTGGACAACATGAATGGATGACCCCTAATGTCAAAACCATTAACTTCGTTGATTCTATGTAAAATGTCAATATTCTACTAATTTTCATAAAATTATTAGATTGACTTTGCTTTAAACAAATGTTAATGAATGTAAATTATGTTTATTTAGTCGACCTGACAGAGAACCTACGAAATTTTCAAGAGTGTGTTCCTGCCATTTTATGAATGGGGAGAAGAAGAATTGTCCAGTTTCCTTATTGATGTTCCAACCTGAAGATGTACCTTCTAGCTCTATAAAATCTAATTTATTACCGCTTTTCAATGCATCTGCTACTGACATTTTACATTGTATTTCCAATACATCCACAATGTCTTCAACATCACTTCATACTCCCTCCAGTTTATGTGTTGCAAGCATTAAAACATCTAAGTTAAAAGAAATTGAAAATTTGCCCTATTTTGTAAATCCATCTTCATTTAAAAAAAATGTAAGCCTACCACCATATTGTCAAAATGAAAATAATTATCAATGCATTGTTAATTTTCCATTTAATGACACATCTTCATGTATATCTGAAAATATACCTATTCATACTTTGCCAGTGCCATCTTTAAATTCTACCTTCAGTAATAAAGAAGGAGAATGGACATTTGATCAAAGGTCTCTTCTAGCTCAAAATGCAATGCTTCAAAAATCTTTAGAGTCAGCTAAGGTAGAAATTAAAGTACTCCAATCTGAATTATTGAAAAAACCTATTTATAGTTGGCTTAATGTGACAGAATCTATACTTAAAATGGAAACTGGTATTTATTCAAAAGATATGTTTATGGTTTTGTGTAACCTTGTTCGCCGTTTTACAGATAACATTCATTATTACTGTGGCTGGAAAGTTAATTTTAACACCATATCCTTAGAGGATCAGATTTTTATCACATTAATGAAACTAAGACAAGACTACACATATCTTCATTTGTCATCTCTTTTTAATTGCAGCATTAATACTATACGTAACATTTTTCTTACATTTACATACTTAATGCATGAATTGTTATTTAAAAATATTTTAATGAAAACATACCCTAGTATGAATAAAATAAGAAAAGCTGCACCTTCAAGCTTTTCAGAATATCCCAATTGTAGAATGGTAGTTGACTGCACAGAAGTACAAATTGAAATCCCAAAAGAGATGGATAAGCAAAGAGCAACATATTCCTCTTATAAATCTAAAAACACATTTAAGGTGTTAATTGGCATCTGCCCTAATGGCTACATCTCATTTGTTTCAAATATGTTTCTTGGATCATTATCAGATAAACAAATTTTTCTCAAATCAGGTGTAATAAGGTATTTTCAACCAGGAGATTTAATTTTAGCCGATAAAGGATTTTTTATTCAAAATATACTTCCCCCAGGTGTGTCTGTAAATATCCCTCCTTTTTTAAGTAATCCCCAATTTACAGAGAATGAGATAAAATGTACAAAAAGTATTGCAAGATGTAGGATACATGTAGAGCGTGCAATTCAGCGCATTAAAGTTTTTAAAATATTAACATGCATACCCCACGAGATGAGAACACACATAGATATTGTGTTTCAATTAATTGCTTGTCTTGTTAATCTACAAACTCCTCTAATACAAAAATAATGTTTTAACTTTGTACAAACACACACACACACACACATATATATATATATATATATATATATATATATTAGGCTTCATGTATGTATCACTGGTGGCAATTTAAACAAATGCATAATTAAACATACATGAATACATGGTGTACAAAATCAGTATATTCTAAAATAAAATATCTTAAAATAATGGCAACTTATACTCTTCATCTTGTCTTTCTGGCGTTGAGAAACCAAAAGCAGATCCTAAACAGCATTTTCATAAGTTGTACATGGGGTTTCTTGGTGAATAAACAAGGCAAAACTGTACAGCAGTCTGTGAACACCTGTTAGCTCCTCTGGGACATTCACATGAAGAAATGTTACTTTCATAGCTTTGTTCAAATGTAACTGAAAAGAAACAAAACTATTAAACATTCCAAAAACACTCAATTACAATTTTGGAGTGTAATAATTTATTCACTTAATTTACTGTACATTTTAAGATGTTTATATATATATATATATATATATGAATACTTACAGTTACATTTACATTATACATGTTTTTTTTCATGCTTGCACAAGCTAGTAACTGATTCCTTTGTGTAGATACAAAAGACATCACCAGATTTGTAGTGGCATCCCTATTTCTTTACTACATTTAAATTGTCCTTGAAAAATTCCATTAAAGTGGTGATTGCAGCAACCCATAACACCATGTTCATTTACTTGTTATTAATTTTTCTTCAATTTTCATGAAGTTCCATTTACCTGGGAATGAAATATAAAATATTTATGGTTCATCATGTCTGTAATTATATATTTCAAACTATTATACTTATTAAATTTAATATGTAAGTATTATAAGTATATATAATACACAATGATCTATTCTTTCATGTACATTTAACAAAGGATGACAAAAATAAAATCTTTTCACTATGTAAATTGTATGGTTTATGTGTGATCAGGTTGTGCAAGGTACACATTTATTAAATTAATAATCAATGTATATTAGATATATATAATAATATTGTTAAGATTAGTCTTTTTGCTTTTCACAATAATAAGAACAATGCAATCCTGTCAATATTGTGGAAAAAAGCAAAACTGAAGAATAAATAGCTAATTGAATATCACCTTTTTTCATTTTACATGATCACAGTCAACTTTGAGAAAGTAATCTTGATTTTCCCAAGAATTTAAATTGTTACATGTATGTATTATTTTATTATTTGTTTATGATGATGTAATAATTAAGCAATATGATATTGAAATAGTTTCATTTATATGTTAAACATTTTAAATAAATAATTAGAAAATTGAAAATGTTATGTCATTTATTGTAAAGGACCAGTTAGTTATGTCACTTGAAATAGGGATGATTAATGTATTTACACTTATGGGATGGCGTGGCTGAATATTAGAGCGTTTGGCTGCTAGCCCAAAAGTCTCAAGTTCTGATCTCGGTTTGGACTTGTGTCTGTGCCCTGTAGGACGTACCTGAGAACACTCAGCTCTGATGGGTACTTGACATTGGGGAAAGCAAAAAAAGTGGCTGGGCATAGTGCTGACTACATTATCCCTTCATAATGGCAACTTATACTCTTCATCTTGTATTTCCTGGAACTTGTGTAGGCTTCTTTCTAGAGGTCTATATGCACTGATTTAATTCAGGTAATCTGAAAAATAGATGTTCACACAATATTTCTACTCAGAATTTTCTCTTATAATTATAGTTTACATTTTATACATAATCAAAATTTTAAATAAAATTGAATCTAAAACTAGCCATTAAATCTATAACTACTTTAGGTCAATATATATTGAACATTAAGCCTAGATTCTATTACTAAATCTAAACTCTAGATCTAATAATCAGGGTACAAGGCCTACTAAATAAGTGGATATAGATACATTTTGCTACATTCCATATTAGATCTAGATTGTGGGCTAGAGTAATAAGTGTATGTTACAATATTTACTGACACTAAGTCCTAGACAAAATTTCTAAATTACTGTGTAGATTGTTACTACAACTCACACTGACACTAGCAATGCTACAGTCACTCTCTATTACTATTACACTAGTGAACTCTACAGTCTACATTTACAACTCTACACACCTTTTAGGCCTTGCCTTAGCTTAGACCCCACTAGACTAGACAGACTGAGATAGGTAGTACTAGACTAGAGTAACTAGATAGATTAGATAACTTACAACTAGCTCTCTACTCTACAAACACACACTTACACTAGCATCTAAAATCTAGAACTAGAATTCAATCTAGATCTAGACTAGTTAGATTCTAGATCTAGTAGTTTCTAAATCTAATCACTGTACTGAAGTGTACTGTCACTTTTTATTTAGATGGATCAGTATAATTAATAAAGTAATAAAGTAGATATAGGCCTACAGATATTATATATTAAGGATCAGGTAGATTTAGATTTTAGATCTATTTTTTTGGTAATATTCTGTCATCGAACTAGACGGTCTAGATAAGTGTTTACTACTGTTTACTGTTTACCAAATCGTTCAGTAGGAGTAATGTCCCCTGGGGCTAGGCTTGCTAGGTCTTACATTAACTTTAAAAAATAATTAATTTACTTACCGCCACAAAACTTTTCTGTCAGAATTGAATGCAAATACATTACTTCCCAACCGTACGTACACAATAGACTTGAAATTGTGTATATTTGTTGCATATTGGGAGTTCATGATGAGTTTAAAGTGTTGAAGCGAAGTCAAGAAACAAGCAGCCGCCATGTTTTTTTTATCAATGGGAATCATGATCACAAAAATTCATTTAGTTTGGAAAATTTAATCTCTCCCTGGCGGAAGTTTTTCCAAAACTTGGAATGGATTAATTAATTAATATTATTAATTATTTCAAAAAAAAATTTCAATAGTTTATCTTGAATTAAAAAATTCAAAACACGTAAAAATCGATACTTAATATTTTGTTTTAATTTTTGACAGCTAAAACATAATTTTAGCGCTTGCCAATTAATTTATATAATTTTTTGAAAAATAGCATGTTATATAGCAAAGTATTACTGCAACACCCAATTACTTTATAATATAAAAAATGGCATTTGTTACGTCCCTTACATGTCCCCTGTTTGTGTGTGTTGTGTACTCAAACGACAGGTACCCTCAATTTTGTGTATAGTTGTAGCCCTTGGTTGAGTGTGTTTACATGGAGCGAGTGATGTTCACGCGAGGTGTGTCAGGTGACAGCTTGCAGAGCGTGTGCTAGTGTGTGAAGCAGTTGGTTGTATTGTGTCTGTGGACGTAGCTGTAGCTGTGGAAATTGGTGTTGAGTATGTTTATCTTATATTATTTTTTTTATTGTATATATATATATATATATATATATATATATACATACATATACACATATATATATATATATATATATATATATATATATATATATATATATATATATATATATACATATATATATAATCTCTTACTATTATTTATAGAGTGTTAGTGTTATCTACTGTTGTATTTGTGGTATTTGTCTGTTGCTATAGGCCCTTAGACAGGTACCTTCAATTTTGTGTATAGTTGTAGCCCTTGGTTGAGTGTGTTTACATGGAGCGAGTTGTGTTCACGCGAGGTGTGTCAGATGAGCGTGTGCTAGTGTGTGAAGCAGTTGGTTGTAGTGTGGCTGTGGACGTGGAAATTGGTGTTGAGTATTGTTATTTGTGTTGTAGACCCATTTTATCTTCTATTATTTTATTTTTGTATATATATATATATATATATATATATATATATATATATATATATGTGTGTGTGTATATTTATATATATTATCTCTTATTATTACTTATAGGGGTAATTCCATACACTACATTTCTATAAAAATTGTAAAAAATCTAAAATTAACACTATGACAATATAATATTGAGGGTATAAGTAGACATGCATTATTTATATAATGGCAAACAAATATAGAGATAATTCATGAAACAAAAAACAATTTTTAAATATTTCACTTTTGTTACAAAAACATGGCAAGTGGGGCAATCCCACACACTTTATGAAAATTTTAAAATTCATCTATTTAAATATTTGTAAAAATCATTTTTCCCCTTGGAAACAATTTTGCATGGGGGCAACCAATCTTCATCACTGGGTAAGGAGAAAGCCTCAATTTCTTCCTCCTGAATTCTAATCTCATAGGCCTAAATTATTCGTTTATAATTGCGGAAAATTCTGAAATAAGAACAAAAGTAAATGTTAGAAAGTCTAACTACTAATGTGTGTATGGGAATGTTTAGCTATAAATAATATAGGTACAGTAAAAATAATAATAGATAAAGAAATAAATAAATAAATATATATATATATATATATATATATATATATATATATATATATATATATATATATATATATATATATATATATATATATATATGTACGTGTGTGTGTGTGTGTGTATAATTATATATTTAAAAAATTACGGGGGGTGGAGGGTGGGGGTGAGCGACATCCAGAGGCGTATCCAGGTTTTCGTTGTAGGGGGAGCGAAAAGAGCAAAAAAGGCGCCGAATTTTTAACACGTCCTATTGAAAATTGAAAGTAGCACTCAGAAGAAATAAGAAAAAAAAAACACAAAGTAGGCCGACAAAACAAAAATTGCATCAATCTAAACCAGGGGTCTCCAAACTACGGCCCGCGGGCCGAATGCGGCCCGCGAGGTCCTCTTATCCGGCCCGTGGAGATATTTTTGTCCACGGAAAAAAACGTTTGTTGGTGATGGCTGAGGAGCTTTGCCCCGAAAAATCAAAGACTTGCTTGGAAGAAACTGGCCCCCGAACTGAAATTTGATACTTAATGCGACCCTCGGACTGAAAAGTTTGGAGACCCCTGATCTAAACAAAAATATATATATATATTCACACACTACAACAAAAAACAATGAACGTAACACAATCTGTTTTGTAATTCTTGTAAAAATAAATTCTTACATAATAATTCCTGGGAAATTATTTAAGACAAGTGAAATAGGGGAAATAATCACTCTCTTAATATAAATATGTATATATCTACACATTTAATTATAAATGTCAAAAGAAATAAATAATTACTTTAGAATATAATGAAATTGTTTAACAATTTTCGTGTTTACAAAATGTTTTTGTCTATAATCAGAATTTAATGTATCGTCATCATAAATGCTAAAGTATTACAGCATAATGAAAGTTTTTAAAATCAGAGTTGGTATAAAACCAAGCTTTTCGTTATAATAGAGTAACATTTTGAATAACATCCTACATTTAACTAAATATCGGTCTTTTAGTTCAGATCATATATTTTTAATTAACTACTGCTTCCTTGTGTTCTTTAAAGATCATTTTTAACATAGTGATAGGTAAGTTAAGATCACTGTATTGATGACACACCTTTTTACTGGTAATTGCAAAAACAATATTCACAGAGTTTTACGTTTATAAAGCTAATTTTCTGGCGGCATGGTACTTTGGTACATCATTACGCGGTTTTCTACATGTACTTAACATATTAGTTCGGGGTGGGTTGGGGGGGGGGGGTTCAACTTAATTTACCACTGTCCGTTCACTTTAGGTCAATTATCCAACCCAGTGTATACCTAGGTGTGACATTAATGTCGCTCTACACAATTGTGGTGGTGAGGTGTGTGTGTGTGGGGGGGGGGGGGGAGATAACCAACTCAGAGTGAACATAGCGTCAGTTTTTAGATGACTGTTCTAAACATACATATATATTACACAAATATATATTACACAAATATATATATATATATATATATATATATATATATATATATATATATATATATATATTACATAAATAGATTTAAATAAGTAGCAGTGGTGTTATGACAATATTTTTTTTACAGAAGGGTCCATGGGGGAGGGGGGGGGGGGGGGTTGTAACTGTTTCATATAATTTGTAATCGTAATCACTATCGCTCAAACTGTAAGAATACTACTACTTCATCGTGATGACGTTGTTGACCTTGTCAAAATGTCCCCACCACTACGCAGTTTGCTCATAAGTAAATTTAAATAGAGGTGCCACATCAGTTGTATTTATTTCTGTATTGTAATTTTTTAAAAATTAATCACACGATTCAAACTGTATATATAAAGTAATTATGTGTGAAGTTTTATGTATAACATTTTCTAATTCAATTATTCGTAAGCAAATACATTATACAGTTGCCTTAAACTTAACACCCCTCTTGCCAAGTGGTACTACCGTAGAGGTTTTTTAAACATTGCAATGTATCGTAATGGTTATTTTTAGAATGCAAACTGATGCAGCTGTTAATAGGTGTTTTAAACATTACTCTACTAGACTAGTACAATAATGCTTAATTGCTGCATGAAAAGAAATCTTCTGATTTACATAGATGTGCCGACCAAAAATATTTTTTACAAATATCATTGTTTAAAACTTTTGAGTTTAAAAAGTTTCCAAAAAGGCGCCACTTTGCTGAAAATGGCCAGAGGGGGAGCGGCCGCTCCCCCTGCTCCCCCCCTGCGTACGCTACTGGCGACATCTTTAAGTGCGCAACTGATGACACCCGACCTCTCTAGGCCACTGAATAGAATACGCATTAAAATACTTCGTACTTTGAATTTAGTTAAATAAGTTACAACGACACGTAAATAGAAAGTTTTGTAATCGTGAGTCAAAAAAAACATAGTTTTGCAATATTGTCCGTATGTCTGTGTGTGTGTGTGTCTGTAAACACGATAACTTGAGTACCTTTACAGCTAGGTTGATGAAATTTCATAAATAAGTATTATATCAAAATCGTAGATCCGTATAAATTTTTGAGCGATTTCCGTTAACCGGAAGTTGAATTTTTTCTACTTTCAGATACATAAATGAAATTTTACTTGTAAGTAAAACGTCTAATTATCCGCCTTCTCTCAAATTTTGAGTAATTTCCGCTGACGGAAAGTATTAATTTTCTGTATTTCTCAAAAGAAACGCATGTGAATTTATAAAGTACTAATAATATTCCGCACTGTTATGTACATTTTATTTTGCTTTCGCCTGGTGTGCAATTTTTTTTTCTACAAGAAAGCTTAAGTATTTAAAATGGATTAAAATTCATGTCTTTATCCCGAGTTGCCATACCCTGTTGTTTCATATAAGAATATTCGAGAAAATTTTGGGGAGATCACTCCCGGTTTATTAGCGATGCGAAAGACTAAATTTGAATTAGGCCTATATATTAAACTACTCTTTTATCTAGATCTAGATTTAAAGTATAGCTAGATTCTATACTAGGTACATTTTTAGTATGGGCCCAAGATACATCAGTCAAAAACAGTATGTAGGCTCTATATCCCTACTAAGTAAGCAAATCTACAAAGCATAAGTCATATTTTACATTTCCTATACCCTACAACCATTTGGCATTATTGATTTAAATACCCCCACTCAAAATACTATAGATCTATATTCTTTTGTTTTTTTTCTTACAGTTTCTTTAATAATAATAATACACATATTTCTTTTTACATATTATATGTAAATTCCTATAGATTGCCCCAACTTAGTCTTCCATTTTACTGCTCATTTTTTTTAGCATTCATAATTTATTTATTATGCTATTTACAACATCTCTAAAAAAATCTTGAGAATCTTCAGTGAAGAGATAAGTTGCATAAAGGAGTGCTCTAAAAAAACATAGAAACATGGAAAAAAAACTATACTGTACAATGAAAAACGTTTTCATTTTTTCAACTTCTTCTTCTTCGTACTTAACTTTAGTGTTGGAAGAGATCCCCTTCAACACAATTAAGTAAACGTCTCAACAGGTTTTGCGCCGCTGAGGACATTGACTTCGATTACACCATTCTTTTCTTTTTGAATTTTCTTTTTTTTTTATATTAATGATTTAGAGTATTTAACCTCTTAAAACACAATTGCTGGTTTACAATAAAACGTTTTAAATATTTACAGCTACACAAGCCATGGGAAACTCCAACAACAAGCAAACATTGTCCACAATTACAGGTTATAAACATTTTTTTTATGATTCATAAATAAAAAAACTATTTGTGCTACTGTAGCAATACAAATCTATGCTGATGTGTTTTTAAGTCAACAGGTAGGGATATCATTTAATGTAACATTTTCAGAAAATAAATAATTTTTATTAATTTTTTGGGCTTTGTTTTATAACATATTCCTATAAGTAAATAATCTTACATACTACTACTGTTTTCGGATTTAAAACATATAATATATGTACTTGCATAAACATATAAGTATATGAAACCATATGTGAATTTTTGTAGCACTATTTTTCTGATTTGGGCTGTTTAAATAATCTGTGTCCCTTATTCCTGTAGGAAATCATGAAGCTGAGATGTGCTATGAAGGAGAAGCTGATTTAAAAAATTATGTTACTGGCTGTAAGAAGAATCCAGGTCACAAAGGTTTTATACCTCTTAAAGATTTCAACAGAAATTGTCTCCCCTCACGTTACCATGACGACGATCTAATGTGTGAGACAATCAAAACAATGGCAGCCCTAACTGTCCAGGTAAAGACTAAATTTACCAGTCTAGAGAGACCAGAGTTTTACCCCGGTACTCAAGTTCCATATCCATGTTATAATGACAGAGAAAATCACGTGATGAGGCTAGGGACGGGAAGGGTGTATGGCGTGGACAAGTACACAGAGAGTGACAGAAAAACTTGTCGTTGTGCCAAGTGTCAAGTCTCTGCCACACCCAGCAAAGTGTGGGGGGAGGTTTGTGTGTCGACAGCCAGACACGTGGTGTTTGATGATAGTGAGGCGAGACAGACCAGTTGTGTTTTAGGTTTTGATGACAATAAAAGTCCGGTGGTCAGTCTTGATGACTGGGAGGTGGTTTGGGCAGACATTGGGAGAGACAGGTGTGAGTTGAGATATGTGACTTGTGACTTGGAGTTGGTTGATAAACTTGACAAGATGTATCAGCGCTTTAATTGTCTATGTAGGGAAGTTAGAGACAAATACGATAGATTTGTTAATCTGGACAAGTTAACCGTTATAGTGTCGCATCCTCATGGCTGTCCTAAACAGGTCTCTGTAGGAAAATGGACACGTAAACATAAGAGAGATGGTTACACCAGGTACTGGTACACATCATGTACATGTCCAGGTTCCAGTGGAGCGTGTGTCTATAGACCGGGATATGTCGGGTTTTGGTATCTCCATCCCCACAGTGGATCAAACTCTGAAGGAAATTATAGTGGAGAGTATTTTGGCTGATGTGATTGTTAGTTTTCTCCCCTTGCTACACAATGTAACCAAGAAAATCGCGTCGTTCAGATGTTTGTTTTGAAGACTTGCCTTACTTGTAAAAATGATATTACCTTAAAAGATTTATAAAAATGTTTTTATTGTTTTGAAACGTTTCACGGTTATTACTTGCACTTCCATAATGTATTTTACGCACTTTGCATTTATAATGTTATAAATATTTTGCCTGTATGAAATTTCGAAAAAAATGCTATTGTATCCTTATTAATTTTGGTTATACTACTATGCTTTATTATTACTTTCATTTTAATAGGATGATCAGAAAGTTGACGAATTATAAAATTTTCAAATTGTTTTAAACAGCTTTTGTTATTATTGATGACGTTATATCCTTCAGGCTATCGGTGATTTAAAATCATTTGGATTCAATGTAGCGACACAGCCAACAGGTAGCTTCTAAAAGTATAAATAATTGTCTAAGAATAATCAATTTTAATGAAGTGAAGTTCAAATAAACTTAGCTGATACCATACACAACTGTTAAGATCTACATCTTGTGTTGTCCTACTCCAATAGAAATGTTAAGTGAGATCGGAGTTTGTCGCTCTGATAGACTGACACTTGTGTAAACACTTTATTTATTCTTATTTCTTCTAAATACGTTCACCAACTGGTGATAGAGCACCCGAATTTAAATCTCTGGTACCTGAGTCCACCCAGATCTAATGGGTACATGAGTAAAATAGGGTAATTTAAACGCGGCTATGACGGCATAAGTTAAACATGTAATGTTCAAAGAACATTAAAAACAATGATCTACTGAAGACCAAATCACCTACATTTCTCAGGAAATAGAGGATGGCTTCCAAGAAAAAAAAAACAACCTCAATAGTGTGGGTTGACTTTGAAAAAGACTTTGACAAGGTCTGGTAGCAAGGTTTAATTCTAAAGTTAATAAACCATCAAGTATCTCATAACGTGCTAAATTGGATTAAAGGATACCTAAACAACCGAAAAGCATCAGTCTCCATGCAAGGAAAAAGAAGTCACACTGTAACTATAAAAAATGGAGTCCCTCATGGAGGAGTCTTGTCTCCTACTCTCTTTCTCATCTATATAAATGACTTAAATGAAAACATCCGAATGAGAGTAAAAATAAGCATGTTTGGAGACGACCTTTCACTAATCAGCGCAGAGGAATATATTGGTACCTCAAAATTTCGTCTTCAAGAAACACTTGACAAGCTCGGCAAACGGACCAAAACCTGGGACTTATCTATTAATACCAAGAAAATCTTCACCCTATTAATTAAGCATCATACAATGAAATTAACCCTAGAAAACCAAGTGCTAGAAAAAATGATACCTAGGAGTCACTTTTGACACTCGATTTACATGGAGGAAACAAATAGATAACACACAAAGTAAGGGAACCAAAAGACTAAATGTAATAAGGAAACTGGCTGGAACAGACTGGGGAGCAAATAATCACATCCTGAAAGAAAACCTACACCAGCTATGTGAGACCTACGTTAGAATATGGTGTTTTGGCTTGGGGATCATTAGCAAACGCAAATATTAGAAAAATTGACAAAGTTCAGAACATTGGTTTGAGAATAATGACAGGAGCTATGAAAACAACGCCTATAAAAGCAATGGAGGAAATAGCCGCTCTTAGTTCAATAGAAGAAAGAAGAGAATCAAAAATCCTCACTCAATACACAAAGCTAGAGGCACTGAATAGCTATAATCTAAAATATAAATTCTAGAAGCCCAGCCCATCAAACACACCCAGGACAGCACTTGAAAGGCTACAAAATACCTGCAGCAAGTTTGTCCTGCAGTGGATCCCGGGGGAAAGAAAAAACATCCAGAAATATCGCTACATCCAAAAGAAATCAAAAGAATCATAAAAAACAAACACATGTGTGGTCTGAAAGACACCCTCACTTCAAAAAAGACGATGGATATTACAATTTGACACGATACCAACAACGCATAATCTTTAGACTCAGAAGAGGTCACAACAGACTAAAATAGCACATGTATAAAAAACTAAAAATTGGGTGTGGCGAAATATGCTCTTGTGGCAAGGCCACGGAGAATACGGAGCATGTCCTGCAAGACTTATCATTATATAGCCAGGCGCGATCCCAACACTGGCCCCTACACACCCCACTCATGGAAAACTATATGGGGCACCGGCTGATCTGGAGACCACAGTCCAGTTCATACACGAAGTCGGGCTTGTTGTATAAATCCTCCACATATACTGAATTAAGAACGAAGAAGAAGAAGAATGATTAATGCATAAAACGAATGGTTCATAATGAGCTCTCAAAATATTTAAAGATTATACGGGCATTTTTTATTTACAGAAATTATTTAAGAGCTATTATAATGCATCTAATATTGATCAAAGTTATTACAAGCTGTACTTGTCAAAATACATAAGACAAAGAACCTCATAACAAGATCAAATTATTTGTTTTATAAGTTGAGAATTATAAAACAAAAATAGAATACAGTCAAAAGAACGCTATAATGAAAGTATTTTAAAAGAAAAAAATTTCATAATTATCTTTCTTTTTTCCTGTTCCTGTCAATAGTTTATATCCTAGATCTCTGTATACTCAACAAAGGAATTAACCTCCAGCGTATTATAGGGATATTCATATATTGTATCAATTGTATCAATTGTGTTACATAATATGACATCCTCTTAATGTATTTAATGTTTTGTTTTATCTTTAGTCATTTAGTATCAGTGCCTTTGGTTGAATCTGTAAACTATGCACAAACAATGTGTCATATTCAAATGGGAAATTACAATGAAAATATTTCACATTCACACATTCAATAGAATTTCATGGTTGTCTTTCCTCTCAATTAATTTCAGAGCCATAATTTGTTTTGTCAACGTTACAGCAAACATGAATAAAAACAACACCAAATAAAATACTTAAAAAAAACTTTTTTAAAAACCACGTTTTTCTTGTGGACTAAAAAGTAGAAAATAAATTTTCATACATTTGATGACAAAAAACGTGGGTACGTTCACCATCAAATTTCCCGACCCATCTGCCCGACCCACGTTTTTTGTCATCAAATGTATGAAAATTTATTTTCTACTTTTTAGTCCACAAGAAAAACGTGGTTTTTAAAAAAGTTTTTTTTAAGTATTTTATTTTCTCCTTTTTAGTCCGTTGCTACACATGAAAAACGTTTTTTAAAAAGTTTTTTATATAGTTTATTTGCTACTTTATCTAATGACTTGATTAAGTATGACTTGACTAAGTGTTTATAAATACACGGACTAAAAAATCTTGAGCGACCAGGATTCGAACCTGGGTTGTCGCGGCCACAACGCGAAGTACTAACCGCTATACGATCACGGCCAGCGCGCTCACATCGATTGGGGCCGAAGTAACTGTGCCAATAGGCCTCCAGTCTTGTCGGTATCTTTAGAAATCATGTCCTCAATTTTATGGTCCTTGGGGCGTAATTAAATTAAGCTAATTACGGTCTCTAATTGCTAGTTTTTATGATTGCATCTGAAATTGTTAGGCGAAAGTAGCCTACATGCCAAATTTCAGATCTATTGAGCAATCAGAAGTGGGCTAATTTTCGATGTCAATTTTAACAACAAACAAACAAATCCACAAACGCGAAGCTGAGTTAAGAAAAACGTGTTAAAAAGATGCAACCGTACATCACCAATGAACGCGTCAACTCGTGTCGTTCAAACCTTACAGAAAGAATCTTCAAGTGGCTATTAATAAACTAATGCCAAGCTGGGTAGCCTACATAGATCCACGTTATTGTACACGGTATAAAGTACCCATACAGTTTGGTTTCTTTGAGACAAAACAATACATATTAAAGTTTACAACGAAATTTTAAACAAAAATTTAACACGTTTTCTCTGTCGCCCACAAATTAAGGTTCAGGCCAGTCTAAGATTTTATATTCCTGCTAGGCTATTCAAGACAATACCTATTAAAATGCAGACAATAGACACAGCTCTATCATAAAGAGAAAAAGACGTCTGACACGATTTTTCGCGTTCATGTATTTATGTCTTCTACATAAAACAAAATAGGGCCGTTACTGTGTGTTAGTACTTTACCTTCACTATCTTTCTACTACTCACCCTCGCAGCCTTCTACAATTAAACTACCTGTAAGCCCATGCCAGCTTGCCACATCTAACAATATTTACATAAAATACATCTTCAGTTGCCTTACATTACGCTTATAGTATCACCTACACTCTCTGTCTGTTAGTATCACCTACACTTTCTGCTAGTATTACCTACACTCTCTGTCTGTTAGTATCACCTACACTTTCTGCTAGTATTACCTACACTCTCTGTCTGCTAATATAATCAAAAACTCTCTCAATGCTACTAACTTCTACACCGGATGTCAACGATTATTAACTAAAGTACATGTCAATATCGACTACTAAACCATTTACAGACACACACATTTTTTTTGTTTATCTTGAGCTAGATTTACGACAGATTATTAGACAATACTTGTTACAATCAACAAATAGAAATAACGCACGTAAAGCTCACTAATCATTACAGGTGAAATTAGAAGTTAAATAGATGTCACTCGTCTCGTCATAGTGTGTGCGTTGTGTGTTTCCTATTTAATTTGTAGTTCTCTTTTAAAAAATTAATGTTAAATGCAATATCTGTTCTTAAACTTTCCTTTTAGTGTACGTTAAAAACACACAAACAGTTTTTTAATGTAATCTTATATCTAAATTAACTTATAATGACACTGAAGATTTAAATTATCAATTTTAGCCCTATAGATTACATTGATTGGTCAGATGAGATCTAAATAGCTGAACAGTACAGGCTTTAATGAGAAGAGATAAAGTTTCACGAGTTGACCTTAAGTAGCCATGATGTTCTGTTTTGTTGTCAATTTGGCAGCGCGTCTGAAAGCCTGGGTCAGGTAGGACAACATACATGAACGTACTCACGTTCAGGTGATAATTCTAATTATAGACCGCCATGAATCACGCAATCTGTTGGCGAGGCTAGGGGATGTTGGTAAATCAATCAAGCAATCAAAAACATGCAACATGACAGGATGAGAAGATTATCTCATCCAAAACTTTCCAAGCGATGCTGCGGGCTCGACGAATGAAAAAGTAACACTAAAGCCATACCCATATATAGAGCTCCAGATAACATTGAGACACTGCACTGTACCGCCATCAATACCGACTTTACTTTTTATCAGTTAAAAATACTTCATATTTTTGTGACATTTTGAGAGTGTAATAAAGTTGAATCGATGTTTACGTTTGAATTTTAAGTTTTGTCTAACATTGCGTATTGTATTAGGCATTTTTATTTTGTTTGTCAGTCTTCTAACTCTATATGAGTTAGTAGTTCTGATCGTATCAAAATAATATATTTTACATGGTTAGTTAATTAAGCATGAATAATAATTTAAAGATTACAATATACAGTAACAAAGAAGGAGATGACTGGATCATGTAACAACTGACAAGAATACTAAAGCAAACAACCAACAATAACTAAAGACTTCTCAGCACGAGACCCAGCACCAACCAATCGACTTGACCCCACCCTCCCCCACCCCTCAACCCTAAAATGTATGTCACACTGCCTCGGTGGGTATGTGGTATGAAGTCACCTACTGAAGTGTAGTATTTTTAAGGGCTGACACTGAGAGATAACACACAAATGATCAATGACGCTTTTTCAGATAGATCATGTCTTAATTGCATATACGGCAATTCCGTATACGACAAATCCATGTACAGTATTTGTTCAGTAATATAAATGTCAGTAGTGGTACAGTAATATAGCCCTTCATTAAGTCTACATCACCAAGTTAAACAGTCCTTGTCATTAGCAGCACGGGGTTTGAATGCCGCGGACAGGGGTACAACTACCCGGAGTCCTAGAGGTCACATGACATGGGAACACGGGGAACATCGATCACAGAAGAGCATAATAATAATCATTAAAAAAGTTTTAAAAACCCACGTTTTCTGATTGAACTAAAAAGTAGAAAATAAATACTATACATCACAATAATGCAAGCGATCACTCTACTATAAGCGATGAAAAACGTGGGGCGCCGAAGTAAAAGTTATATTACTATTGATTAGATAATACTATTGACTTTTATTAGGGAGCTTGTCGAGAGTCAACAGTATTAGAAACTGTAAGAAAATCACGGCGCCCCACGTTTTTCATCGCTTATAGTAGAGTGATCGCTTGCATTATTGTGATGTATAGTATTTATTTTCTACTTTTTAGTTCAATCAGAAAACGTGGGTTTTTTAAAACTTTTTTAATGATTATTATTTTCTACTTTTTAGTCTTTGTCTGTTTGTTTGCATTGAAATCTTGCTATCGATTTTATCTTTTCACTTTTTTTTGGGTAAACGAAGACAACTCGTAAAAAGACAACTCGTAAAAAACGAGAGACCCTTTCTTCTTCGGTCTCAATCGCAAGTGAATGATTGTCAGAGGTTAGTTGATAGCGGTTAGGACGAGGGCTGGTTACTGACTAGAACACATAGATTTGAACCCGTGTCGAGTGGGATAGCAATCGTGTGCCCAACCACTCGACCATATCGTCTCCCCCAAACTGGCCACCAGTGGTAATAGTTACCTCCTGTAAGTTCAAAGTCGGTTCAAACTAAATTATCTGCCCCTAAGCCTGTCGCGACGTAGGATCGTTCGCGTCACTGCGCGCCTGCAAGAGAGAGGCGAGCTACGCGTCGCTCGTTTTTTTTCTAATGGCTCGCAGAGGAGAATTATATATATAGATTATATAGCGGTCTAAAATGCTCAATAAAATGTTTCCATTGATCAATTTAGTAATAATAACAATTGAATATTCTATGGTCATCCAAAAGAAAGCTTCCCTGAAAATTTCAGCGCGCTAGCTAACTGGGAAGTGCTAGAAATTTCGATCGCAAGATTTGATTGGAAAAACAAACAAACAGAGAAAGCAAGTTAAAGAAAACGTGGGAAAAATACATCAACAGTTGCGGTCCCACAGGGGCCGCAACCAAATAAATTACAATATATTCCCCCTCTGATTCGTAATCCGTGGTAGGTGTTTCATGTTATAAAAATATATGCCACGTACATATACGATAACCACATTACAATGTAAAACCTAACAATACGTCAAATCAATGCCTACAAAACAATACACTTTACCCAACACAATTTGCACATATCATAAGGCACTCAGTAAACTTTGCGAGAGGAGAAAATTAAAACGAACATTAACTTAAAATTTTATTTTCCTTTTTTTAGTGAATCGAGTGGCAGCTATATTATGCTGTAACTTGTCATGTTGACATCTCTAATATCTTATAGAAATAAATGCACTCTAAGATTGTGGTATATGTAATTTAAAATTATTGAAATTAAATTTTTATAAAACAATAAACTTATTTGTTAATGAAACAAACAAGTCAAGCAGACCTGTCGAAACTTGTGTCTAAATAAAGATTTACAGGAATACTAAAATCAGGATGCTGTAAATTCGGAGGAGAGAATAGTGTACAAAAAATATTAGTAACGCAGTGAGAAAATATATAACACTTTTGGGAATTCCCAAAAACCAACCAAATCTGGTTAAGTGACGTTGATGTTGGGTGTGTATTCTTGTACTTTCTATCTGAAAAAAAATATAACTTGGAGATTTATGCTTTTCTAAATTTATCTACAAGTACCATATCGACATTTTCTAACTTTACACATATTTTGCCCCTATTAACAATGTAGTTATGTGCTTATCTTGAGACGGTTGTAGAAACTAGCCCTGGGCCGATTGTATGGAAGCCACTTGTTGGCTTACTATGTCCTAGTAGGACTGTGGGCTACTAGTGAACGTATTTCATTTTTTGTAAGCTTGTATTAAGAAAACGTATACATGAATGTAGTAGCAAGAAGATAAATTATCCGTTGCTTTATTTAACTCTCATCGTCACATGTAAGTTTCTAATGTTTCACAACAGGCCAGCTCTACCTAACATCGAGAAGAATAGTTTCTAAAAATAGTTCAAACATCCGGGTTGTTGAGCTAAACGTTTGTACACGTCACGTACGCCACATTATGTGGTGAGTAATCTCTGTTTGATTGCACAAAAATGAAATTCCCGAATATAATAGAAAAAAAATCTCGAGTTCGAATCCGTGTTCAAGTCGGTCCACCTAGCTCTGATGGGTACCTAACTAACGTTAGGGTATGTAAAGGCGGCTGGAGATAGTGCTGACCACACTATCTCTTTATAAACTTTATATGCCGAGGTCACAGAAACTAGTGAACTCTACCTCGTACTACAAATTTTTAAAATATTTCTTTATACTGAACACTAATTCAGTCTGTCAAATCTCTTACCACATTTACAATCACTAAACGTTTCTTATGTTGCTTTCCAGGTTTTGTTTTTTTTTCCAGCCCTTATTATACATAAGCTTGAAATATTTAAATAGCTTTTACACGTCAGTATTTAAAAATAGCAGGAAAAATGAGTCACTCCAGCTCTATTTAGAAGGGTTTTTTTTGGAATTGGTTTGTAGGCGTATAGAAGCGAGAATACAGCAGTTTACTATGGACTGATGTTACCGAGGAGAGGACTGAATGGTTTGGAAGATTGACGTTCTGGTCTCATGAAACTAGAAGAAGTCTATACACTCTTTTGCATAAAAGGTAGGCTACACATGAATAGAACAAAAATATAAAATAGGAGTGAAAGTATAAACTTCAGGAATATTTGATTGGGTAATAATCTACGGTAAATTAAAATGAATGCTTCAGATGAAAATTTATCGACAATAAGAATGTTTGAAAGTTTGACAGTTTGTAGACTATTTGATAACCAAGCCCTATGTTAATATGACTAGATTATGTGGACTTTATTAAACTGTGCGCAGCTGGACACTTGGCAAAAGGGAAGTAAGTTTGTACCAGGGGCGAAACTACAGTGCCGCCAGACCCCGCAATGCAATAATTTTTTTATAGTTAAAAATAATTTTCTTGCATTTTTGACTTGACGGTAAAAGCTTTTGTAAATAACAAACAGATCTACTGTAGCAGTAATGTTATACAGTTGCTAACACATGCTGTTGTGTAAAAAAAATATATGCCTTAGCTGTAGTGTGAAAGATAGGCAAACTTTCAAAACACTTCCATGGCTTATTTCCCTTTTTTAAATAGTTAAATAGGGGTGCTCCTAAGCTCCTTTTAATATATTGGTACTAAACAAATTAAAAAGCAATAACTTTTCTTTATTATTATTTTTTAAGAAATGCATACTAAAGAATGACATAGCATAAAAAAAGAAATATATTTGAAACAAATAATATAAATTTAAAAAAGCATAAAAATAAACATAACACGAGAAACCATTATATATACAAAGCTTTCACGTTTTATATTCTTTTGACCAGCTAAAACTTAGCTGGTAGGCAGTATTACAGCAAACATTTTGAATAGACTAATTCTAAATCTTAAAAAGGAAAATCAATACAGACTAATGCACTCACACACATGACATGTTGTAATTTGTTTAAATATAAAAAAAAATTCAGGCTAGAAACGAGTATGCAATGTTTGTTTTATGTATATATATATATATATATATATATATATATATATATATATATATATATATATATATATATATATATATATATATATGGGGGCCCAGAATTATTCTTTTTGCGTGGAGGCCCTTTTTTTCTAGTTCCGCCACTGGTTTGTACTGGGTTTTCCCAACTGATTAATCAGCACATCCTGTTTTTACGTCCAACTCGCCTAGCCTTCCTCGCCTCTTGACCTACTTTTTAGATGAACCGCTGACAGCCGATCCGCTTAGACTACCATCAGCCAACACAACCCGATTACCCAAACAACGACGACAGTCATATATTCTACATTTGTAACGTTTTGTTAAATAATCGTAAGTCCGTTTCTTATACCTGGTACTTGTATTATAAAATATTTTACCATTGTTATAATTTAAAACTAAAACGTGTAAAATAAGTTTTCGTATATTATATATTAAAATTGTATGTAGGTGTTTAGCATATTAGCCAATGAGTTTTTATGGAAAAAGCATGTAGCCTATATTGACTGATTTTTCACTACATTGCCGTATGTAGAGAGCAAATCCTGCTTTTATCAGATGTCACCACTTGTTACCCTTTTCTTAATGGGATCTTAATAACCTCAGATACGATTAAAAGTAATTCGCAATAGAATCTGATCGCATGAGGCCAAAAAATCTGTCAAATAAGCTGCAATAGAGAATATAATTTTGTCTTGCAAAATTCATTTTTACTTTCTCGTTTAGATAGTATAGAGGAAGCATTGTAATATCATGCACAAAAATCACTTGAAATTTCGACAGCTTTTAACGTTTCACTCCATAGTACTTCATCATACATGGATTATATGGGACTTATTTTCTCTCTATAATATATATATATATATATATATATATATATATATATATATATATATATTCTAAATCCAGATTTATCGTACGTGTAATCGTGTCGGATTATTTATATCTTAATCAATTTGTGAATACTCCTTCATTGATTCAATGGCTAATTTGAGAATCAACCGTAGATTCAATACGATTTTTTTTTACATTTATCGAAACACTGATTTAAGCATACCGCTGCCGTACATAAACCATAGGAACTAAAATAAATATGTGCATGGTGTAAGTTATCAACAGGTGCGATATAATTGTATAATACCGTTTACGAAATATATTACACATGCTAATACAACTAAAAAAAAACTTGACTACTTGTAAACTAATTTTACATCGCCCGAACTCCATTATTTGATAGTATCTCCTACCCTCTCTGTCTGCTTGTATCACCTACACTCTCTGTCTCCTACTATTACCTAAACTCTTTATCTCCTAGTATTAATAACACTGCCACTTACACTCTTTATTCTCTACTATCATCAAAACTCAATGTCCACGATTACTACCTAAACTACCTGTAAACCAATATTATCCACTAAATATTTATGTACAAAATACATCTGTTTAATTCGATTTTTCTTAAATGATATTACGTCTGCCGATTGACACAAAATGGTCTCAGTAAGATAACTGGTACAAACATGCACAGCAAAGAAAAGTGACTAGCCCAAGTAGTGATACTTGTAGAAGGGGGGGGGGAAGGGGAAGAGAGGGTAGTAGCGAATTCACAAATTATGAATTACTGAAAAGTAGCAAATAAAACAACTAAATAGCCGCGTATATTTACGGCGCGGGTCAGCTCGAATATATAAATATATAACACTTCGGGAGATGGCACCTCGGGATATAGACATGACACTTGCGTAGCGGTTGTAACTTATTTTTAGTACATAGATCATTCTTTGTTTTATACGTGTAACGTTTTCATCAAAAGACAAATTATGAATTACTGAAAAGTAGCAAATAAAACAACTAAATAGCCGCGTATATTTACGGCGCGGGTCAGCTCGAATATATAAATATATAACACTTCGGGAGATGGCACCTCGGGATATAGACATGACACTTGCGTAGCGGTTGTAACTTATTTTTAGTACATAGATCATTCTTTGTTTTATACGTGTAACGTTTTCATCAAAAGACAAAGCTACGAAGTATTTGTAATTGATTTTAATTATTTTTCTGCATTTTCCTAATGCGATTATGAGCTTGCTTAAAATACTGTCATCACAGTAAGAAGCTAATAGAAAACTGCTGGCTTAATTATAATAATTAAGGAGGTAAAGATAATGCATTATGTATTTCCTTGATATAGGCCTTGTGGGCCTTATAAATCATCCACATATACATATACATATCTATATATATATATATATATATATATATATATATATATATATATATATATATATATATATATATGTTTTTTTTTATATTTATCAGTTTTATATATAAAACTGATAAATATAAAAAAACATATATATATATATATATATATATATATATATATATATATATATATATATATATATATATATATATATATACATTTATTTATTTATTTATTTATAATTGTATGTATGAGTAATTATTTAAAAAAAAACGTTTTGCTACATTGATCACTGAAAGTTTGTTTGGACATTTAAAAAAAAAACTCTTGAGTTGTGTGTGATTAGTTCAACACTTATCAGCTTATAGCCTCAGGGAATTTGCGACAATACAAGCGTTTCTTTAAATTATCTTACAATAATAGCCTATAAATGTTAAGGTTTTCTAAAATGCATCCTACTTTCGTACGACACGTGATGTTAATTATTAAGGTACTCGCTGTCGTTTGCTAAAATCGGGTACTTCAATATAATAAAGATGTGTATCCTATCTTTTACGTCGTATTCTCTTTACTTTAGAAAACGTGACACAAATAGATCACATGTTATTTAACCAATGCGTTGTCTTAAATTCCCATACATAAGTAATAGCGGGGAAATCAGACGACCGGGACATTTTATAGGTTATAAATAGAATTTCGTAGTACCTGACTGGACGGCCATTTTGAAAACATTTTTATTCGCAGCTGTTGTTGTTGATGTCTTACTTTATAAGTCTTTATAATAAAGGTCTATATTTATAGCCGTATTAATTGGGGTCATTGTATTAAAAACACAACTGAAAGAAAATTAAAGAAATTAAGAACAGCTATTTTCTAAGTGGTTAATCTATATTTAGTTACGTTAAGACCAGTGCTTCTTCCAGACTTTTTCCTCCGGGGGGGGGGGGGGGGACACTTGAAATTTTCGGGGTGGTGGAGGGGAGGGCGGTAGACTTTCTTCGGGGGGGGGGGGCGCGGACACTGTTAAAAGTAGGCCTATATATTTTCTATATAAATTATATAAATTTCATTTCGTTCGGGGGGGGGGGGGGGGGGGTGGGGGCGGTAGAATTTTTTTTTGGGGGGGGGGGGGAGTGTGTGTCTTGTTGTGTTATTGTACTTCAATCAGCAGCTTATATGCGACCATTGAAGGGGTAGGACTTGACAAAATTATGTGGTCAACACTGAATTTGCAGTAAACTGACTTATAGAGAAAGCGATGCCGTTAAAATATACAGCCAGTTTTAACCGTATCTCTGATCTTAATGGGAAAGTTTCAGTGTAAGAAGTTACTTGTTTGGGAATATTTGTACTTTAACCACCTGACGACCTCATATATAGGCTCCTATCATACTTCTGAGGTAGTTAAAGGGGTGGGGGGTGGAGGGGGGTGGGGAGAGGCTTGACTGAGTGGGAACTTTTCACATCCCCCCCCCCCCTCTATCAACCCCCTAGAGATGCTTGAAAGTACCCTAATGTTTTCTAGTTTTTAGCATTGATGATCCATGTGCCAGAAGGGATGATACAACATTTAACTATAATACATAAATAATTATTAAAATATTTAGCCTTTATAAAATAGTTGAAACAAAACATTCTAGATACGAGATACACATTATGGCCATATATACGACTACAATTATATCTAACATTTATTCAATATTTAATAGTAGACATACAGGTTAACGACTAACTGAATTCAACACACAATTATCAGTAGATTTAAAATGAGGCAATTAAAACTTGTAAAATCGACGCCCAAAAAGTAATCGAGTACTAAATCGAGCATCAATAACGTTAGGTTTAGATTATGCAAAATTAATAAATAAAAATAATTTATGTTTTGTAGATAGCTTTTATGTCTGGCATTTATTTATCGAATAATCTTATTTTGCAATCAAAACTTGAGTAGTTATATCTATAACTTGATAGTGTTCGTATCTTTTTATCGATACTATAATATTTACCAAAATAAATATCATTTGTAGCAGACGTTCGCACTTCCTTGGTCGCCCGTTTTGTTAATGGACCTGCTTTCAACTCTAGAATCTAGACACTAGGTTTAGACCGACTTAAAAATAAAATTCACAGCAGATCTCATAGTCTCATCTGAGTAATAGATTCTACGGATCAGTTAGGTAACCATTTAAATAATTTTATAAATTGATCGAGCCCAAATAGAGCTATGTTGTTTTTTTTTAAATTCTAGATTCTCTAGATTCTAGATCTAGAATCTAGATATTATCTGTAATAGATTGAGATAATTGTGAGGTCAAGGGAACTCACTCTTCTGTATTAGTATTATATTTATATTGTTATCTTGAGTGATGTCCCTTGTGCATTGTACTTCCGTCCCTTTCCGGTTAACAAATAAAGCTGTTTACATGCTCATGGCTTCTGTCTCCCTTGTATCCATAATCCACCTCATTTGGCGACGAGGATAAAGATCTACTAGAAAGAGCACCTAATTACGCAAAAAAGAGGTTTGCTAGAGCTTATTAGCTAAGTATTTCTAGAATAATGGCGCTGTATGGCCAAATAAATCAATTTGATTCGAATGATGAAATCATTCAGGATTACCTAGATAGGTTAAGCTTTTACCTTGAAGCAAACAACGTGACGATAGAAGCCAAAAAGAGAGCTATTTTGTTAACAGTCATAGGGCCTCAACAATTTAGGCTACTAAAAGACTTATGCGCACCAGCTAGTCTAACTACCAAGAGCTTTAACGAGCTGAGCAAATTGCTAACAGACCACCATGCACCTACCCCATCAAAGTTTTTATGTCGAGCTAGATTTGACAGTAGGACTCGTCAACCAAACGAGTCAATATCAGAATATGTTGCTGCTTTACGTCATTTAAGTGAATTTTGTGAATTCGGAGACACGCTGTCTGACAGATTATGTGAAAAGTTTGTGACAGGTGTAAACAGCCCTGATATTCAAAGAAAGTTGCTGCTCGAGTCAGATCTAACATTAGAAAAAGCAATACAACTTGCAACTTCATTCCAGCAGTCATCTGATGCGGCGAGATCTTTAGCACCTTCAGAGATCCATGCAGTAAACAGCAGGTTAGTCAACAAAC